TCCACTGGAACCACTTTAACCTTTGGTTCCGGAACATTGCCATTAGGGTACGTCGATTGAAAAATTTTCTTTTTTTTCCAAAACAAGGGTGGCGGCGATTGGGTACGTCCAAGGTGGCCGATACACTATGAGGACATCGAAGCACGGAGTACAAACACGGAAACTCGCATGGAAACTTAGTTATCTTATAGGATATAATTAGACCGTCTTTCACATTCACAATTATTTCAAAACTCCGTCGGTTTTCCCGATTGGTTCGATACATTTCATATCCAGATAATACGTATTTGATGGCGTCAACTACTTCGAAGGTGAAGTTAGATACTTCAGTGACTTTATTTATGTACGGCTGCCATCGAAGTACGGTTGCAATGAAGAGGCCCTCCGGCCTAAAATATAAAATTTATTCATTCATTTATTATTTATTCTCAATATAACTTCCGTTTAGATTTCAGCGTACTATCCCCTTTCCCGTTAAAATATCTACCTGTCCCCTGGCAAACATACCGGAAAAATCGATCACAATTTTTTAAGATTACATATACCAAGCCTCAATCCGGTAAGTTGGGGCTGCCAAAAACCGACGGTTGTTTCTTATACAAGAAAAGGTCGTTTGTAATCACGTTAATGTTCAATTGCTTCGTTGACGTTAAATTTATATTATATTTCACTATGTCCATAAGTTTTTATAAGAACACAGGCAAGTGTTCGAAAGATAAGTTAGTTTTTCCAAATTTTCGTATGATATTTCATCTTATATTCCTGTTTATGCGTTCCCTTCTTGCTGTGCAATTTTGTTACTTCAACTTAATTTGCGATGCGCTGAGTGCATATCCGTCACTATTTTTAGATGCTGACAATAAGCCGCATTACTTAGCTATGGTGCGCTGCTCTCGATATTCTTGTAATGTAATTCGAAATCATGCCACACTCTGCTAATTTCTCTCACAGTTCGTCAAACTGGAAACACTCGTGTATGTCGTGTATGCAAGCACCTTTTACTGGACTGAAATTAAGAAAGCAACCTTTGATTTAGTGTCCATGTTTGTCTAATGTCTACAGGAGTCTCGACAAAAGAGAGGCTTCTTTCTCACTTTGAGTCCATAGATGGAATTCTGAAGGATATTTTAGATAGGGTAACCAAGAAGGCGAAGTTTGTTGAATACGAACACCTTGTACGTCTTTTACTAGACAAGGATAGTGAGATTAAGCGGACACTCAAGGATGGTATAGTGCCTGCTGACAAATAATTTTTTTAGCTGAAGAACAACTAGAAATTCAGAAAAAGATTGATAAACTCCGTGCGGACTGCGTTAATTCCGACGCACAAATCGAACTGTGCCAAAAGGAATTAAAAAAGAGTGAATTGCTCTTGGTATACAGGATTTAAATTTTTATACTACTTTAGAGCACCGCTCTGTATTACTGTCGGCAAAAGCTTGATTGCATGGTCAATTCTATCAAAAATCCGATAGATTTGGATGAATTGATACAATTTTCTCATTGGATCAGCTTTAACTATGGCGTTATGGCTCCCGACAACTGGGTTCAAGGAGATCCTAGACGTCCATATCCGAACAAGAAGGAAATAAGACGCGGTTACTTAGGTCACCTGGACGATTCCGGGCACTTCCGTCCTAGTGTTAATGAAGAGTTTGCGCAGGCTTTTCCAAGCAGCACAAACACACCTGTATCATCGCATCC